AAGAAACTCTTTCTGAAGCTTAGTTGATCGATGACGTACTTGTTTAATTACATTTGTGAGAATTAAAAAAAAGTAACGTTACTATTAACTTGAATACGTCATTGAATAGTAAATACTGCAATGTGCGGTTACTTAATTAATTTATTAATTGTATAAAATAATTTGAGTATTTGAATGACGTAGACCTGACCTGCATATAATTTTAATTTATCTTCCGAATATATATATCTACCTATGTTCAATTTAGCTTAACAGATAATAGACTCATTTGTTATCTTATCGGAATATTTTATCTATTATTTATTATACACAAATTTTTAACCGAATGGTTCTAATCCATTTTAATGCTTATAATCCCGCTTTGTTTACTGAATACTTTTTTCAAGAAAATAAATTGAGATATTATTAGATAATAAAACTAATTGGAAGTACTCAACATTTTGATAAATATCTAATTGATGTAAATATTTTAATTTAAACACTTTTCATAGAATACGTAAGTGGTCAGTATGTAACAAACTTAATTTATTTTACTTTTCCTCATAAATTAGAAAATAATTTCCATGTGTATATATATATTAAAGTAGACGCTCGATAGTGTGAACCGAAAAAAAAAACAGTTGTTTCACATTATTGATTTTTTTACATTAATGAATATTAATATTTAATATCTATAACTAAGAAAACAAATATACATACAAATATAAACATTAAAAACAGTAAAAAATACATAAAACAGCAAAGAAGTGTCATTTTTTGCTAAAGAATTAAGATTATACAACTACTAACAACAAAGTATGTTAAAAAATAAAACAACATCCTTTTAGCTAATACGACTAAGGAAGTACAAAATATATCGGGGATTTACAGCAATAGCGTAAAAAAAGCGACGAAATTTCGACTATTATTATAATGGGCATTCGTTTCTATATGCGAAAGTTTAGTCTGTTTATGGTATACAGTGGCCTATCATAATTAATACGCTGCTTACATTAAGCATTTAGAACATCTCACATCTTTAACTATTTGCGGATCTCATCTAGGTTTGCCTCTACCCCTCTTAACTCCCGTTTCTGCTTCTAATTCGTCTCTAACAAGCCCTTCATGCCTGAGAAGGTATCCTACTAACCTATCTCACCTATTTCTTATTGATTTTAATAGGTATAGTTGGGACGATCACAATTGGCAAAGCTCGCAATAAATTATCTGTAAGAATGGACGTATCTTCTTTTTTGTTCCCACTTGGGACTGTAGTCATTTGTTTTGAACACGTCCTTGTTAAGCTAATAAATGCTTTATGAGTAAATGCGACAGTTTTATTATGAACTATGTCAATTTTGAACATCCCAACTATACTCTCATAATGTTTAATTGACGTTATCGAGAGAGCTTGATCAATTCTTTTATTGATTCTTGATCAAATTCTTTATCATTGACGGTTCTTGTGATAAATCTCCGTCGCATTTTATTCGGGTCTGTCCAACAGGATCACATGAAAATAAATAGTAGCACAAATTCATTTGTAAATTTTCTCCATTCTTGTTTTAATGCTTTTAGATTTTTGGTTAGAATTATCAGTGAACCGATAAATCGAATTTCAATAAACTCTAACAACTTTACACTGATTCCGATATCTTATAACTTCTTTCATTGACTTTACCAAAGTTGGGTGGAGCCGCCGGGAAAGCGGGCGTTTGCCTCGTGGCCAGTCCTCAAGTTTTCTCTAAAAGTCTAGATATCACTGAGTCATTCAAAACTTTACTTTAAATAAAAAGAGACGCTACTTAGTAGACTGACACCTCTATTTCCAAAATCCGTTTACAAAATTAAAATCGCAAGATTCAGAAATAATTCAGACCTCCGAAGGAGGTATGAAAAACATCACATCGTTACTGTTTAAAAACTTTTTACGAATTAAGTTTTCGACAGACAAAATCGACTTTTTAAAATGTTTATATATGTTAATTACAAGGAAAAAACTTTGTTATCAACTGTAAAATATGATTAAATAATATTATGAAGCAAGACAATATCAGATAAAGTTATTATTACACTTTAAGTACGGTTTGACGTGAATCTGAAAATTATTATTATGTGGTTAATAACCAAACAAATAAATGTCAATTTTAGAGTATACATAACATAGAAAGTATGTAGTTTCTAATATTTTTACGAGAACAAAAGAGTTTTCTGTAGTCTAAAAAGTATTATATCTATATAAGGTTGCCATCCGTCCGGGTTTCCCCGGATTTGTCCTATTGTCCTAGGTTAGAGGGCATCCGGGGAGCGTCCGGGGGGGGGGGCTCATTTGTAGTCCTGGTTTAAAAATTTAAAGTCTTGGGCCGCCCGCCACACACGTAAAAGAAATCTAACTGATTATTAAAACAATTTGTAACAAACTGTAATAAGATTCTGTTTTGTTAGGTACATTGAAAATGATGATAAAGAATGACTAAATTTAATTTTAAGGTCTGAAAATAAATAAAAGGGTGATTTATGACATTTTCAACTGTTTTTTATTACACTGACTACGTTTAAAAAGACCTGTTGACATGTCCAGGTTCTGGACTCTGAAATCCGGGGTTTTCACGCGTCTTGTCCTAGTTTCCAAATTTTAGAGATGGCAACCCTATTTCTATACAACTTATAATAACATTTTTGTTAATGTTTATCATTATCATTACTACGATTATGATTATTGCCATTCTTAGAAATCATTTGAAGTCGAGAACATTGGAATCCTGGACTTTATTGAAAGAACTTGACCCATTCTTTCCTTGTTTTGTTCCTGTTTTAAACTGTTGTGATATAAAAAACATATTTGGGCTTCTACTAAACATTTTACATCGGTTGAAGTTCTATAAAAAAACATATACCAGATGTTTACTGCATTGCGAGTTTTCGCAAAAAGAGAGATCAATGGTGGGTTAAGCGAGTAACCGCAAAACCTCTGCTAGTATTTATGCAACCAAACATACGCTTTCAAGTGCAATACTTATAATGTGGCTAGGTCGTATCTAGGAATATTTTTCGGAATGGATTTTGTTAAAAGTATGAGGTTTACAGTTAACTTTTTTGAATAATAAAATTGAAATTTTAGAAAAGCTGAATAATGAATGACTAATACTAATTATAACAAATTGTTTCGCTCGTGTTGATATCCTTCGCCATATAAA